TATGCAAATGTAACCTACATGCGACTGTCATTTTTAACACGGCACAATGTATCACTCAGTATAGCTGAATCGAAATCATTCTCCATGAAAGAAAGAAAATATCTTTTTCACTGCAACTCTCATTCCTAAGCAATCAGTAATGAGTAAACATGTACATGTACATGTATTTATAAACCAAACATGCAATCAACGTTATCATCCTGGCTTGTTCAACCTCACTCAGCCACACCCAAGTCTCTGAAAACACACAAAAGCACAGCTATAATGGCCAACTGAATCCTTGAATCTGCTGCTGTATCTTTTATCTAATTTCCTACATGACTGGATAAATTCACTGCATCAAGTACATGTTCAAAACAAGGACACTGAGGCCACTTAGAGGCCAAATCACTGGCCTCTTCTGATCACACCTCATGCATACATTATACACACAGGGAAGGGCAGACATGATGTTTTCCCCCAGCTACTGTCCACCCAATGTGTCTATTCCTTCAGCTGCTTCAAAACAGGCAACAAGGTTCAGTAGGACCATAGAAATGTGTTCCTAGCTCTATGGTAAGACTAAATTAATTCCATGGAAGCTGTGAAATCTGTCCTAGAGAGCCTACAGGTACATGAGGAGTTGGAACAAAGATGGAGCTGAGAAGCATATACACGTATTACTACTAGGTGATTGTAAGCATGAAAAAACATGCACTGGTACCAGTACATGTTTGCTTATCTGAATGACTCCTTCACATGAATAATAAACAGCAACTGGTTTTAAAGAATACTCTATTTTAATTAACTTGTCCAAGAATGGCATTCTGATTCCAAAGAACACTACTAAAAACAAAACACTTACCAAGTACTTTTTTTCATTAAATGAATATTTAAATAAATACATTCCCACAAGCAGCAGATCAGGTAGATCAATAGCTTGTCTAGCCACCAGTAGTCTTGTGTTGTCGAGATCAATATTCTGTTGATTCAAATTCCATCCTCAGCTTTCACCTTCATATAAATATTAATTTTAATCCTATAAAACTAAAGCCAAATTTCTAATGTATTAATCAAAGCTCTGACAAATGATCTCTAAAATAATTTTCTCGAAGAGATATATATTTTTTTAAATCTCTATGGCTCTACTTCCAAGAATTTAATGTCACACACAATCCGTTGTAATCATTTTCATCTGACAAGCATCTGTTGAGAAGGTATTTAGAAAACAAGCCAGAATATTTTTCACGGTAATGGAACAAGCCTGTTTGTCAAATCCTCTTTCAAGAAAACGCTTGTTCACATCAGTACAGAGTACAGCAGCCAATATACATGTAAGCACTTCTTCTCCAGTGACAAATGATGCAAAAAATGCATTAACAAATGGACTTCTGATTAAAATAGAAAAGCCTCATCTCCTGTTCCCCTGGGCGACAGGATTATTTGCATCAGCGATGCTGAATGGAAGGGATTTCTCAAAAATGCAATGAGGCTTCGCAATTTTGCATTTCATTTGATTTGTCAATGCTTTCATTCCTAGTTTATAAACAACTTGCAGTAATTTTTAAAAAACTTTTCAAGAGCAGTAATGGGCAACCTTTTTTAGATTATGATTTATTGCCTTGCTAGAAACTCCCCAAATATTACCACAGAATGTTCCTGTCTAAAACGTTAAAGGGGAAAACTGCAAAAAAAATCCTCCAAACATGGAGAAAACCACATATCATAATTTCCACAAATTCTCGCGGTCGGACATCCGGGAACTTCTGTAAATTATTGAATAGCATGAAGCAGACTTGGATGACCATCACCAAGGCCGAACAGAAAAACACTTCCAGAAAAAAAATGTTTTAATGTCATTTATGTTTAGGCTAAATCACCACTCTACTGTTTCCAGCCTGATGTACATGTACCGGGTACAGCTGGGCCCAGAAACACACTAACACTGGCTTTGTGTCTAACAACCAACATTTCAGTTGTGTGACCTTCCATGCATTCATTTTCTCAGCCATGAAAACGGACCTAATATCAGCCTCAGCCGTACACACGTCCCAGTCCCCACCCAGACTGTTTGCAGCTAGCTAGCTAGAAGCACACCCAAGAGAGGTGAAAATACTGAGCCCAAGCCTGTTCTACAGAACATGAGGGCGCCATTGCAAAGTTCGGGAAGTTTGCCAAGAATCCAGCATGGAATTATCAACAAACGTTTTACATTCGGGATTTACCTGTTTTGTTTCTTTTCCCCACATGGACACAACTTTCCAAAATTCACATCATATCACGGCTCACTGTGGAACAAACGTATGAATAATAAGAAAGCTACAAGTGATCATCATGTACTTTCTTACCTTGTTTTAATTTAAAGACGTCAACGCACGCCCAGTACCCCGCCCTAGACAGTCAAAAACACGCAACCATTGCATGCTGTGATGTACATGTATATGTCCCGCGACTGGAGTTAGCCGAACTTCAATTGTAACGAATCATCCTATTGGTCACATTTTTTGTTTAGTCGGTAATGTGTTCGTAAGCTCTTCTTTCATTGGGCTGTTTCTTGTTGAGCTTCTTAGGAGACTAGCTCCCACTGTCCAGCAAGGAATTTTTTACGTATTGGGTAGCTCACCACCAGTCTATCTGTAATTGTGGGAAGTTTCAAGATGGCGCTGTCCTCGGGACAAGACATTTGAGTGTACTCAAGGGAAAAAATCTATTTCTCTTCTTCTGTTTGAGACATATTTTTCCAAAGATGACTACAGCTGTAGTAAGACAGCATCCACATAATCATCATGTTTAAACACTTTCTGCGGTCAAACCGCATGCTTGGTATAAATTGTGTCTTTTGTAACCACCACCCGTGTTACAAAACTGCAACTGCACAGTTGATGTGTAGACTCCAAACCAGCTGTCAAGTGGTATGCGCATCACGGACGATTGACTCTGACTTTTCACGTCGGGCCAATACAGGAATTGCAACACCTTTGCAGTTATCTGAGAATTATGTGAGAAGAATATCTCACTCTCAGGAAATCTATTTGCCAAGGATAAATTTAGATGGTAGAACTACAAAACGGGAATGGAGAGACCGTGAAGCAAGAAGAGTGTGTTCTCAGGTTCCAGTTTATGCTGCTCCAGCATTAAAAAGTCCATATGAGATTACTTTGAACAAAGGATTAGTAAGTGTGTCTGTGCATGCTGGTTGTGATTGTTTAGTTTTTAGGCCTAAATGTATCTATTTTTTGTGTTGTTAACTTGCTTTTTAAACATTCACCAGCTGAAAAGTTTCGGTTGCTGCATGTTCACACCAAATTCAGCAATCCTTATTGGACTTAATTAGATTATAACTGGGGCACTGTATTCCTTGAGACCGTCAAAGTACCGGGAAAAAAGAGTACAGTGTGTCAGCATGGAGGAATAAGAAGACACCTCTGTGGTCTCAGTTACTGGGTCTAGATCTGTACATAATTTTAGCACCCTCTTCATTTTTAGCACTATTATTACTAAACTTTTAAGACTCTTTGAAGTATATAAGTCCAAGTTCCCTATGCAGGCTTGGTAATTTAGCCTCCTTTAAGAACTTGGCATTATTCTTTAAATCTTTTGTGGAAGGTATTGATCAATATTAAATTCTTATCAGTCACAGTTGGGGAAGTTGAAGACATGAAAAGCAGTGTCCTAAAACTAAGTAAGGATTGTCCAAATTCACAGATAATCATAAATATGGACAGTGAATTTGTAGTTAAAGAAAGTTAGTTGGTTTATTGCTTTATTAGTTAATTGTGAATTTAAACAGTGCAGTCAAGTGGCTGAATGTTTTGAAAATCTTGATGGATGAAGGCTTGGAATGTGCTGTTCCTTCTGTGCCATGCCAATAAATGTTGATGTTGCAGTTGGTAATACAGCATTCAGAAGACCTTAAGTCATTTTTCAAAATACTGGAGATGCCTTTCAGAAAAGACAGTACATGGGCATTTGTTTTACTTGATGTGATCTGCTCAGTCAACCTAATCAGTAACCGTATGTTTTTGTGAAGGAATTTTTATTGTTACCTGATTTTTGTTCTTTGGTATAGAAATTATCAAGATTTCTAATCAGGGAGTACCATGCTCTTGCAAGACTACTTCAGCGATCAGCTCCCAATGGTACAGCTGTGCAACACATTGGCTTAGGTATGATTTCCAGTACAGGTGTATGCAGCTGTAGAAATGCAATAGACTTAAAACATAATGACATGCTCTTTGTTTAATCTGTTCTTTTCTGGCAGCTGGATGGATCATGTCCTACCTCACTGCCATAGGAAAGCAATCATGTATCGATACATAGTGATCAAAGTGTGATGTCATCATGTTACAAATCTATTCTTTTAAGAATTTTAACGTGCAGCAATTTGGCCTTAACTGGTAGAGCTCTCTGTCACTCAAGAGGTAGATGATTTTTGATGGATGAAAGTCATTTATAATGTTTTTACATTTAGAAGTCTTTGCAAAGCTCTGCATTCTTTTGTTTTGCTATTGTGTATGTTTTAATTTTAGAGAATATCAGTTTCTTCAGCACATCATCTTGGCAGAATCAGCAACATGATGACAGGAATCAAGATAGAAAGGATGAGGAAGAAGGTGAATTACTCTGAGCAGTTAACAGTCAGCTGACAATTACCAGCCCAAGTCTACAGTTTATCAAGCATTTTGGCCTGAAATGTTGTTGTTGAAAATTGAAATGAGTATGTTGTTTAAACTCTTCAACAAATATTTGGGGCGATTTGCAATTCAGTCCTAGCAAAAATGCACCTCAAATACGAATGAATTGGGAATTAAAGCAACAAAATCCCCCACCCGTCAAAAAATGCAAGGGAACGGTATTACCTGGCATATTTGTCCACACTTTTGATATTCTGATGAGAATTTCTCAATATGTCTGAAGAAGTGAAAAGTTCTCTGTAGTCGCATTTAGCTAATAAAGTTGGTCCTTCCCACACAGATGCAGCTAAGCGAGGCAGTGAAGGGGATAATATACGTATGTTACTGGTCCTGATGTTGATCCTAACACTCCTTAACTTCCTCTCCAAAGAAGATGAAGCACAGAGCATCTCATGGCAGACATTCATCAAGGAGATGCTGATGAAAGGAGAGGTAGAACTATAACCAACTCAAATTTCTCTGATGGAATTATTGACGTTAGTTATACTGATTAATGAATGTGACAAAATGTTACCGATTTGAAGACTGGAATGCTTGATAATAGCATCGATAGATTGTGAGATTAATGACTTGATCATTAAAAATAGCCGATCAATTGCATGGACAACTCGAGTTGACTCTCAATGAAAAGTTATAAATATGGGTAATTCCAGAAATAAGGGGTCCATTTTTTAGTGTCCCTGTTACATCTGACATATGATTTTTAAGTTCAAAACACATTTTCTAATTTCCAAGAATGATGAATTAATGCACATAACCTGCCAAACAAATAGTAATAGTTTGAAATCAATTCTGGTGATATTTCCATGTCAAATAACAAAGGTCAGATGTAACAGGGACACAAAAATATCACACTTTTGGACCCCTAATTTCTGGAATTACCCATATGTAAATATGCTAGTAAATAATAGAAGAGGAATTGGATTTATTTTCCTCATTTGTCGAGTCCTTTTGTAACAAAGTTCTGATTATAAATCATAATTCAGCTAGTCCCCGCATCCTACTTACAATGAGAGTTGATAAATACACATCTGATAATATCATCTCTTACTACCAGTTGTCCCACTTTTACTAATATTTCTTCATTGAAAGAATGAAACTGTTTCAAACACAATAATTGCTATTTTAGGTCAAATATGTCTCTGTGACTTACTATGATTCTGATGGAAGTGGTAAAAGCACCAATCCTGAATCAGACGTGGTTCATGTTTATGCTCATGATGGAGCTATCATCAATGGCAGAGAGGTAGGCCAACATACATGTTCATGCATGTTTGACCATTGGATGTCAAAGAAAACCTGGGAATTACATGTACATCTTTGATAAACTGGAGTTTCTAACAAAAATTATGGTCTTTCAAACCTTGAGATAAACTGATGTTGTTTTTTATCACTCTGAGACCAAAGGTGATGAATGAACTTTTTCCATTGATTGGTAGCATGATTGCTTTTGAAAGTTTTGCTTCAAGATTAAGGTATCCCTATCAAATCTGTGAATTTTCCTTCATGTAAAATCACTTCGTTAAATCTGGAATACATGTAAATTGATTTTTGTATGATTATTGGATTGTTATTAATTGTTACTTTGTTAAACCATAACCTCCTTTGATCTTCAACACTACTGAATATGAAAGAGAATTATTGTGATGGATTTGAAAACCATTTTGCTTAATTTGGAAGGTCGGATGAGGTCAGCCTAATCATTTCCTAACCACAACCTCCTTTGATCTCCAAAACTCTACTGAGAGAAAATTGTTGTGATGATTTTGAAAACCATTTTGCTTAACTTGGAAGGTCGGGCGAGGTCAGCCTAATCATTTCCGTATGAGAGTTGGCAACATTGACAAGTTTGAAGCCAAACTGAGACAGGTGGAGGACAGCCTAGGTATAGCGCTTCATGACAGGGTGAGCAATTTAGAGCATTTTCAGAAAGACCGTCATCCAAGTCTTTATCACAGTTTTGATAATAATCCCGTCATTTTAACAGTCACAACTGTCATTTGTTAATGATTTAGTCTTATGATGTAAAAAAACTCTATTACTAGGTTGATATCTACATTTACTATGCCAACAGACGTATATAAACATGAATAAGATCCTGCCTGGTTCACTACTCACTCTCACATTTATGTGTGTGATTTTTTAAAATTTGTCTGGATTTCAGGGTTTTTTTCACCCAGAAATTTCTAATTTTTCTAGATTCAATCAGTCAGGTTTTGCTACTTGCTTGTACTTTGTACCAAAAAAGTGCAACCTTCATCTAATCATGCACACGTATGAGAGACCTCCTGCCTCGTTAGCTATAAATAGCCTTGAAAATCAAAGTATTTACTTGTTAATTATATATAACGGGTTTGCCCTTACCCAACGTATATTAATAAGCACTGTATGCTCAGTGCTTGACCGAGAGCTTGCGAAAAAACCTCACAAGCTTACTCGGGTGGTACTCAAACCCACGACCTGCTTACCAGTGCAGATGTCTTAACCACTCGACCGCCGAGCTTGCCGAGGTCGGCTCCGAGTCTGAGTCTGAGTCAAATGAAGCAGCGGGTACTGCAAACTATTTTCAAGAAAGGGCAAACCCGTTATATATAATTAACATCTCCCCCAACGCAAAAAAAATTCATCTTGAAAATTTTTACTTGTTATTGTTACATAGATTTTCTTCATCTTCATCCCTGTATATTCAATTTCCATACATTGACATGAAAACCGGTCACATGTACCATGCAATATTCATATGGAAGGCTTGACTTTAATGCAAGTGTCACAATGATCATGAGACATGTCTATATATGGTTCTTATGTGTGGGCTACACTCTATCTTAGGTAGTTCTTTCAACCTTGTATCAATCAGCTGATGCATAGTTGCCTTGCCGCCACAGATTCAGATCAAATACAAGCATGTGACTAGTGACGGGCTGTCTGGCATCCTAGGCACCTTGTTGATTATGGCTGTCATCTTCTACATCATCCGCTCGGCTATGAGAGGAGGAGGAGGGATGAATACATTCACTCAAATGAGTGAGTCACAACTGTGCTCTTAACGAGGCCATTGTTTAGCTTGATGTGTTGAGTGAGTCACAACTGTGCTCTTAACGAGGCCATTGTTTAGCTTGATGTGTCGTTGATGATGCATTGTTTGAATCTTGGTAGAGATATGCCTGTACTAGGCAGTTTTATTAATGAGCTCCATCTCGCAAGTTTCTTCAGTCAGTAAGCTTTTTTGTCAGCAATTTTGCAGATGTCAACCTCCTTTTCATTTCATATGTCTACCCTTCCTGCCGCTGTCAGAGTGGTTTTCTTATATGTTCTTTAAAACTGACACTGAAACATAGCAGTGTGGATTATAAAAACCTCTTTAACAGAAAAGCATAGCTTTCTACTGCTGTAAATGCTTGTGCCATGTTGGCCATTCATGCAGAATTTTTTTCCAGATGAAAGTTTTCTTTGTAATCTTCAACAGCTAAGGCCCGCTTCACTCTGGTAGAGGAGGGTGGGTCAAAGGGTGTGACCTTTAAAGATGTCGCTGGCCTAAAGGAGGCAAAGACAGAAGTCATGGAGTTTGTGGATTACTTGAAACGACCTGCTAAGTATCAGGAGCTGGGAGCAAAGGTCAGCTTTGGAAAAAAGTAGCAAATTATGACTTACAGGGGCAGCCCACAAGTTACCTACATGTAGTTCTTTGTAATAAGATCATTGCTCGTTGGTAGAAAATATACGCACCTAGAGAGAACTAGTACGTAATAGATAATGTACAGCAGCACACTCTAGTGGTGAATACAAGGAAGCCACCATTGGTGAGAGCACTTCAGTGTCATTTGTTGTCTGATTTTGTCCAACTTAAACCTGCATCAACCATTTAGCCTTTCTGTCCAAAGACCTGACCCCTTATACATATATGTGAGGACAGGCCGTGTCCTCAGACTTTGCCAAATCTTGTCTAGTGCTTTTTTTGTGTCAGTTCGACTTTCTCTGCAGTCTGATTGCTATTGTTCTCAAGTCCATAAACATAGACAGAATGTAGCGCCTGTTTGTGTTGATCTGTCATTAGAGGTCATACGACCAAGGATGTGCCAGATGTCCTTAACTTTTTTTCGGAGTAAGATAACTAGGCTGTGTTCTGATCAATTAGCGACAGGTTTGTGCAGTGTCCTTGCATTCCCTGACTCCTTGCAGAGTAAGGTATTAAGGCCATGTTAGCCTTCGTAGTACATGCCATATCTTCACACTATCAGAAGACTTTTATGATGTTACCGTTTCATATTAGGATGTATACACTGGCTCATACTATCAGAGTACACCCAGTGGGCATTTATTGTTGTGTAATTAACTCAGCATCTTCAAATCCTGCTCACAGATGGGAACCACAGTTTTCATAATATAACTAAATTGTCTTACACTTTCTAAACCATTATGGCTGCTCACAGGTCCCTAGAGGTGCCCTGCTGCTAGGCCCACCAGGCTGTGGGAAGACACTCCTTGCTAAGGCAGTGGCCTCTGAGGCTAATGTTCCCTTCCTAGCCATGGCGGGGTCAGAGTTTGTGGAGATGATTGGAGGTCTTGGAGCAGCGAGGGTTAGGAACCTGTTCAAAGAAGCAAGGAAGAGGGCGCCCTGTATTGTCTACATTGATGAGTTAGATGCTATTGGCAGAAAGAGAACTGACAAGTGAGTACATAGTAACGTAGAAACCTTCAACTGTTTCACCGTTATAGTGACCATTTTCATCACAATGTCAGACCAAGTGCTATTTCCTAATACAAATAAACCCAAAGTCCTAAAAATATGGCCTGAAGACTCATATCATAGGAGTTAGTCAAATATTTTTTAAAGCAGAGTGGGTGGAACAACTTTGCATATGACAAGACATTGAGAAGACGCCTTTCAACTTGCTGTGACAAAAAAAAAACATGAAAGTAAAACACATCAAATGAAAGAAAAGACAAAAAGGAAACAAAAGTAGCAAATCTCTGAAGAATAATTTGAGAAGTTTGGGGATTTATTTAGAAAACCCCTAAATATGGGTAGCACCTGCTAAATTGAATCAAATTCTCCAGACCTTCAGAAGCCTCTAATGTGAGATGGTTTATCAGAGGGGAATGTTAGACCCTCGCATGGCTTTTGTGAAGTTATATATCTTTCTTGTTGTTGTTAATTGGTCTGTCTTGATAGTTTTTCTCTGGGGAGTTCTGGTGAAGAAGAACAAACACTGAATCAGCTTCTTGTCGAGATGGATGGCATGGGAACGCAGAAAGGTGTCATCATGTTGGCGTCAACAAACAGAGCAGACATCCTGGACAAGGTAAGCCAAGACTATTCATACATTTGATTTTGCAAACATCACACATTGCATCAACAGCTGTACTACCACACCTTAAAGGGTTCCTGTTTTTAATCTCTGCCCAACCTACTCCAGTGTCACAACTGATTCCACATGGTTGAGTTCAGTGTACTCCCTTTTCCTGTTTTCTAGGCACTTTTGAGGCCAGGACGGTTTGACCGTCACATTCTGATTGACTCTCCCACTCTGATTGAGAGGAAGGAGATATTTGAAGTCCACCTCAAGAAGCTGACATTGGAAAATAAGCCAGAGTCCTACTCCAAAAGGCTTGCTCAGCTCACACCTGGAATGAGTGGTAAAACTTAGGAGGGAAATTTCCATTTTGCAGATTATTGATACTACATTTACAAAGGCAGACCTTTACAATATGAACATATGTTGCTCTTTTAGCCCAATCTCTGAAGACTGACAGCTAAGATATATGCTCTCTGCTTTTGGAAATCAAGTAGTTCTCATTTTTTCCAGAAAAGCGTATTGTTGTGGCAGTATAGCAGTTGATAACATTCAGTTCTGCGTGATTTGAGGATAACTCTGACTCAAAAATTCATTGTCACAGGTTTGTTAATCTAATTTGAGCTTTCATTTCAAGGATTAAAGTGTATGTTCAATTGTCATGACAATATTTTGTGTTGTCCAATCAGGTGCTGACATAGCCAACATCTGCAATGAAGCTGCACTTCATGCTGCTCGGGAAAACAAGAAACTGGTCAGTGGAGAGGATTTTGAGAGCGCCATTGAGCGTGTCATCGCCGGAGCCACCAAAGTCAACCGAGTTATGTCGGAAGAGGAGCGTTGTGTTGTTGCATTTCATGAATCGGGTCATGCATTAGTTGGATGGTTACTGGAACATACAGATGCTTTGATGAAGATATCTATTGTACCACGAGCTAGTGCTGCACTAGGCTTTGCCCAGTACTTACCTTCTGATCAGAAACTCTATTCAACAGATCAGGTAGGCCGAAATCATTGAAAAGCCATTTTGGCAAGAAAAAGCAGTGGAATTCAGAGAAATTCCCTTTAACCACTTGCTGCCAGGGTTTCTGGAATCAGACTCCTTGGGTTTATACGCAAAGTCGAGCTGCCCGAAATTGGACAAAAGAGCTGGGCCTTGTAACAAAAGACCGTATTCGGAACAAAAGACCGAGCTGCTGGGACTTGCCAACATTTCCTTCAGTTGTCAGTAGCGGAGGAAATGCATCATTGTTTTGAATGATTATACCACTGTTTGGCATTCAACGTGAGTGGATTACCACTGGGGACTTCAGCGCTCCAGGGATGAGCAATACAATACCGCTGCACGCTAATCTGGTCCACATTTGAAGACGCCAGCAGCGCACTGGGCCAAAGAAAATGACATAACACCGGACAATTTGGGCTGTCTTCACAAGGCAGCAGGCCTGACTGAAATACTCGGGTGTCAATAGATGTTGTCCGTCAGATTAGAGTAGCCACCAGACAGTCATTCGTGTGGTGTAAACATCTAGTAAATGAAGTTATGAATTTTTAAAGAATTTTGAAAACAGAAAATCTTTAAATTCCCCCGGGTATATACGTCATGCTACTTCAAATTAAACCTGGCAGCATTCGGTTAAGTGTAGAATCTAGTGTTGGCTGTGAACCATGTGTTTTGGGTTCTCTTCAAATGATTCAAACAACAGCAAAGCGAATTCCCGATAGCATTGGTCAATCTAAGATCTAATTTGGATCTGTAAATATTGAATAAGATGAATAAACAGCCTTGCATTCATTTATTTGTCCTGAATTTTTTTTGGATGGCAAACATTAGTATTTCTGTAAATATTGTTCAGGATGTTTAGGGTTTTCATTGTTTGTTTGCAGCTTTTAGACCGCATGTGCATGGCTCTCGGTGGACGAGCAGCTGAGGCTCTGGTTTTCAACAAGGTCACCACAGGTTTGTACTCAGAAAAAAGGAAACTTCTATGTTGCTAGTCACTTTGATTGATGGAAGTCAGGGACAAGTAATGTAAATCTTGAGTTTATTCTTGAACCAGAAGGTTGCTGTAACCAGTAGAAAAAGTGTTCAGTGGTTGGGAGCAATTAATTCACTGAGACCTAGCAGTGCTTGTTAATAAATGTGTAAAGTAGATACCATCAGATCTTGGGATTTCAATCCTTTTTAGGTGAATAATTCTTACATCTTAAAGCGGGGTACATTAAGCTAAGTCATACAGATATCTAGGTACTACCAATGTCTAAACATCTGCCACATTCTCTTCATGAGAGATAACCATGTTATCTCTTAGTGGTTGCTGTATCTAATGGCCAACCAGGAACACATTAACCTCTAACCTTTGCCATGTTAACAGGTGCACAGGATGACCTGAATAGAGTCACCAAGATGGCATACGCCCAAATCCAATCCTATGGAATGAACGATAGAGTGGGTCAGGTCTCCTTCCCTGATGGTAAATCCAGTGAACTGGGAACAAGGCCATATAGTCAGATGCTACAAGGAATCATTGATGAGGTAGTGTAGATTGTCTGCCACTGGTACCCAGCTCCCAGGCAACTAAGGAAGCTGCATTTCAGTTTTCTTTTGAGAGAGAGAGTTTGTGAACAATCAGAATGAACAGCATAATGAGAAGAGTATGCCATGATCACTTGTCAAGAGAGCATTTTCGGTCTTACAGAAATTCATCTATCTTGTATTTTGGGTTTCTTTTGTAGGAGGCTCGTAAGCTAGTCACCAATGCATACCGAAGGACCGAGACACTTCTGTCAGACAACATGGACAAGTTGAGATTGGTGAGTCGATATCTAACATCAGTTCCAAGCATGTTACGTATTTTATTTTGTAGCAGAAATGTCTGGCCAAAGATTCTCCTGGTTTGTTCACAAGTTTGAAGTGGCTTTGCAAAATTATCTGAAACTTTTCACAGTTGTATCAGTAAGGATCTGATGGCTTCTGTCAAGCACCTCCACTACAAGGACACTGACAACTTTAATACAGAGAACCATCTTAGTGGTACACTGGCGTGGTGTCACAGGTTCTAATCCATGTAATTTAATTTTGTCATCAAGTTTGTTGATGTCAGAATTTTTGCTTTGCCTTGATAGTCAGAACTTTGTAATGATATCTGGCTTTTTACATTGAAGTGAATGATTTCATTCCCTGTTTTTGGTTCAAGCTGTCAACTGAACTACTGAAGACAGAGGTCCTAAACTATGTGGATGTTGAGGCGTTGTTAGGACCACCTCCATTCGGTCCCAAGAAGCAGATAAACCTGGATGAGTTTGATGTGCTTGGTGATCATGACGACAGTGACAATGGCAATGATCCGCCAAAAGACCCAAAGGAAGACAAAGAAGAGGAAGAACCTAATGCATATGCATAGCAATCACATAATTATGGATTTATTCATTCCCATATTCAAGAAGTATGAATATTCATGAGAGATTGATAAATCTGAACATATATGGCATCTTCAGTTAGGGTTGTTATAGTTGTGCATAAAGTTTCCAGGTTTATTGAATAATTATTCTGTATATAAATTACAATTAATTAATATTTTATTCTGAATGTAATAAAAATGTGGCCTAGGTAAGTTTAAACTATTACAGTACAGGAAATTAGACTGATCACTGTACAAAGGGAATTTTTCTGCTGGAAAGTTATTAGATTTTCTTTTTCAGATCTTGATGTGTTTTGTTCAAAAATCTGTACTTTTTTTATATGTCACCTCTTGCTTTTGGTATCCCTTAAATGTTTGACACCTTATCTCTCTCATTGAGTGACAGTGGTCAGTATTAATGAATATGATGATGACTCGGCCATGTCTTGTCCTGTTTGCCGCCGCTGAGTAGCGATGGTAGTGGGAGGATGGAGGGGGACAGAGTCAGTTTTGTAAATGGGCGTGTACTTTTTTTCATTGGAGCATCAACAAAATGGAGTTGTCATTGTCTCCGTTTCCTGCCTTGCTAGTTGCTAGTCATGCTGTGTCGCATGTTACGGATACATTTCCAGAATTTTTTACTGGGGTCCAAAGTAAGGTTTCTAATGGCAACCTGTTGTCATAGTTAAATGACTTACATAGTAGTGTGCTTTGTAGATGAGTCAAAGTCAGATGTATTTCTGATTGAAGTTCAGTTTTTGCAGATGGCTTTGTATAAGAAATAATGGAAAATTTTTAACTTTTTCAAGAAATCTCATGTTTCATTTATCGCGTTGTCCATGTAATGTAACTGGTAATTAAAAAGGTCATAGTAATCGGATAAATGTTTTCCCCAAAAAAAATCCTAGAACAGTTTTCTACAAAACCTTTTTCTTTCAATTGATTTTATTAAGTGATGCCTTTGAAGGACCTTGTAATATTCAGTTTCCAGTCTGTACCTGAAACAAGAGTAAAAGTCGATACTTTATCTCAGTTGCATGTATATAGAAAACTGCTATTGTTTCAAGATCTAAAGCTTATGTGAATGCAACTGAAGAACATTTCTTCCCTGATAGTTTGTTTCTTCTTTCAAGCCGTATATTATGTTCTGAAAACAAGAATATTTGTGAAGTGAAAATAAAAGTTGCCAGATTAAAATGGTTTTCCTAAGCTGTATGTGTTTGTGTTGTGCATTATCTAAAATCGGAACATCTAGTTGAAAAAACTTGTACCTTTAACATATCCTCATCCCCAGTGAATTGTGTTTTAAGTTTCTGCACAGGGCCAAGCATGCAGTTCCATATTTCATATTCCTCCGCTTATTTCTGCAACCATTAACTTTTTGAAAGCTAAAGTAGAATACATTTCACAAGAAATCCTTATTTAAGTGAATGTGTTTCGCATAAAGACTAACCCATGATTATGATTGATCATGATATCTATAAATAGGTCTCACGTGTGACGTGAGCAATTTTCTCGGACAATAAAAACGGCTCAAAAGAAGCCCACGCATTGTTGCCATATAAGGAATATGTCGCGTTTGCTGGCTATTACTTCCGGGTCATACTAGTGGGAGAGTGACCTTTGTCAACAACATGCACCGTCTGCACCGCTAGCGTTCCACGCGAAAATCCACAACTTGCTCGCCTTGAAAGATTCACCTCGAAACCTGGTATTTCTCGTCCAAATGATACCTTGAGTACCCTGTAAAAAATATGGACCCCTTTGTGTTATTTCTGATGTGACTGCGTTACGCAACGGTGGTAAAATTGTAAGTTATTCTCTATTTCAATCTGACAAAAATCGAAAAGGTTGGAAGTGAACTCGGTGTTATATGTTACTTAGCCCGGACTACAGTGCCAGCCCACAATGTGCACGATGTGTTGTGTTAATTTGTACATGATGTACATGTACAATGTAAAGTGTCTTTGCACGTTACATGTAGATGTACAATATACATGTAGGCCTAGGTACTTGTCAGATGTTAGGCCTAAGGTTATCATGGTCATGATGGTTATGTTACAACGTGCGTGTTTGGAGTCTGTTGCTAGTGTGTTCCATCCTGACTCCATTTCATTGGTTGTGTAAAATCCGAGGTCTAACATTACATCTACATGTACTAACTACTATGTAGGCTTGTAGGGACTCTTGGAGTCAAGAAAATTTTTGAAATATTTTATTTCTCTATTTTTCTCTGTCCCAGATTTATGACTTTCAAACTTTATACAATATTAAACTGACTGTCATGTACCCCCAGAACTGTGGGGTCCGACATCCGCCCAGCTCTCACAGGGCGGACATCAGACCCCACAGTTCTGGGGGTAACCGTTTTTGAGATGACCCAGTGAACTGAAATTTGAAAAAGTGGAGACAGATTGTAACATTGTTTTCTTTAAGCATGTTAAGGGTAGGTTGAACTACTCATGCAGGTTGTTGAACGATTGTTGTCAAATAGATCTTGTGGAGCAATCTGTCCATTTACATCCTTCTACCATCTGATAACCTTTCCTCATAGAGATGTGGAATACTTTATCGAAAAAGTAAAAAGTAAGATCAACTGTTTCATAATTATGCAATTTCTTGGCATGTGCACCATTTTTTTTACGTGCAAGCACATCAATGAAAAATTTTTGCTCGTCAAAGTCATCATGCTTTCGTTCCAATATGCACTTGCATCTCACAAGGCATGTTCTTTTTGCCCCATGGACTAGATGATGCATATTATAATAAAACTGCTAATTGACCCATCATCCTGATTGTGTCCGATACAGGGAACAGTTCCATAAACAGACATCCCTAATTTGTCCCTACAGCGGTACATGCACTTGTACATGTAAATCAGCGATCAGAGAATGATTACATGTTCTAAGGTATCAAACTTAGGGAAAAATTTCAGTGCATTTACTTACAATTTTTCAGACCAATCTCTTAGGGTTTATACACAGCGTGTCAAGTGATTTCCGTGTACATGTACATGTATAGAACTCTGTCCCCGATACATTTAGCTTAAATTACTGGAAAAATTCAGGAAATTTTCTGGCTTAATTTGTTCGGTTGTGGCAATTTTACTGTTACAGTTTTTCCCTGTTAGTTTTCCACTTCTGACTTGGTGCCATTTCCAACCCTTGTTCTGTAAAATAAAATTGACTTGCTTAGGATTTAACACTGGCACATATTTTAAAACAATTGTCCCATGTGTAGAATTTAAAAATTCCAAACATGATGGTAATATTTTCAGGCCGTTTGTTTGCATGCATGGTACATGCATGTATTTTAAATGTTTTTTTTTTCTGAACCAAAAGTGATTTATGCTTGTATTTCCTCAATTCCATCAACACACTATACATCCTGTATATACACTTGAAAGCAAAAGCAACATGCTTGTCAATTTCTTCTTTGTTTTATAATCACTTGCTTTTGGGCATGTGATTAGTAAGGGGTATTGCGGCATACCTACAGTATATAAAGAAATTGTTTGTTTCTATGGAGTGAATTTTTATGTGTGGCCTTTGACGGAAGTGGCAAGTTTCTTCTGCTGTCCAGTGTATTATTGCAAAGTCTTGTGAACTGGTCATACATCTACATGTACATACACCTCAAAAAAAGAAAACTGCACGGTACTTGTTTCATTTTATTATTTATTTATTGCCATTGATTTATTGCACTATGTACATGTAGCTGAGGTACTGTCCATTTCCACTCCAAGCGGAACAAAAGAGGGAGTGGGTTTTTTTAAGTACTCACCGCATAGGTGTGTGTTTATAATGGGATCAATGACGCGTTTGACGCAGAGCATGCTGAGTACATGTAATGAATTTATTCCGTAATGTATAGACATTGTGTACACGCAGAATGCGTGCAAGAACCCGCTTGGAAAACTTACTACCATGTGTCTTTCTTCTGCCGCTTGGAGGTGCACTTTAACGCATGGTGGATAAATTACATATCAGTAGTACAAGACATTTCCCTTTGTCAGGTTCCAAGGATTCAGCTACATGTACATTTACATACATGTACATGTAATACTAGTACATGCAGGTAGTGGGTTTAATTAAATACTTGAATTAAATGACAACCTACTGTACATGTAATATGCTGAGCATAAAATTTTGAGCACGAAGAGTGATTATCTAAATCTCCACATATCATGTTTAAATTCTCACTTTTTTATTTTTATAACATGCCAGCTTGAAAGTGTCTGAGAATAGGACAGATAAGTAAAAACGTGTATGTACATGCACCAATTTATCAAAACAGTTCATCATGACATTGTCCATTCACAGTGACGTTTCATCATGACATTGTCCATGCACAGTGACGTTTCATCATGACATTGTCCATGCACAGTGACGTTTCATCATGACATTGTCCATGCACAGTGATGTTTCATCATGACATTGACCATGCTCAGTGATGTTGATCGAGACATCGTCCATGCACAGTGACATTGATCAAGACATTGTCCATGCATAGTGACATTGATCAAGACATCGTCCATGCACAGTGACATTGATCAAGACATCGTCCATGCACAGTGACATTGATCAAGACATTGTCCATGCACAGTGACATTGATCAAGACGTCGTCCATGCACAGTGACGTTTGATCTAGAAGCCAGGATACAATTGTTTAGATCAGAAATTTAAAAATGATGCTACTGTAGGAATGAGGCTTCGCAACAAATGCATTTTCTGAAATCTTATCAAAAAAGTGTTATGAATTATGAACATTTTTTTGGGGGGGGGAAATAGAATCTTAAAAGTTTTGCAGTATCAGCTCTTGACCCAACTTGATCTCAAAGCAGTGTGTCTTCTCTGTTTCATTTTGAATGTTTGAAATACTGCACATGTATTTAAGTCAGTTCTAGCACATGTTTGATGCATTTTCATGTAATTATCATTGTTTGTTACTTGTATTGATATTATCAATAGGACAGACTGTAAAAAGGAACCACCATTAAAGTTATATAGATATTTGATAAAATAAAGAACTCGTGTTTGGTTTAATTTCCTGTACATTTCTGCCAAGAATCTTCCTCCTTGAACTGTACTTATAACTACACTGTACGCATGGCATAAATCTGTAAAGTGCATTCTCTGCACTTGAATGAAATTAGGACATTCAGTCCTACTAGTATGTGAGATTAAATTCATGGTGTCCCGTGTAGAGACAAACTTGAACCTACATGTAAGCATCAAATCTTGCAAATGGATGCTGGATTTGGCCAAATAATGGTAATATTCATGTCACGAGTTTTCTGAGTTCACCCAATGGAATTCAGTGATGCATGACATGAAAAGTGCGGATTCATCAAGTTACTACATGTATGTGTCACAGCTGTGTACACCATGTCCTTAATAGAAAGCACTATCATTGGATGAATTTCCATGCAAATAAAAAATGTTCTGGCCGTTTTCATTGTGTTAGGTTTAATGCATCTTTCTCTAAATATACCTTAGAAGCGTTGCCTTGGCAACACATCAGAGCCATTTTCGTTTCTATTTGTAGAGTAAGTAATTTCAAGTACATGTACAGTGTGTACATGTAGGCTTCTTATTTTACAAAATTCAGCATTTGTCATTTACATGTACCATACATTTAGCGACACATGAAAGTGGCAATATTCCCTGTATTAACCGTAGTCAACTATTTTTTCAACTTGAACATTGAACCTTAAGTACCGGTACGTAGCCATCACACTCTTTCGTTTGCACTTTGTGCGGACCAAGCTTCTTGAAAGAATGTCTTCCTGTACTTCATCTTGTCCATCACACTGCTTGTTTTCTTTGTGGTCTGCAGAGCAGAATAGAAAGGACAGCAGACTACAATCAGCGACAGCAGAGACTTGACTCGTTGACGACCAAAGCCAAGGCATCAACTGTGTTGTCACAGTGTTTGTCTGCCGGAGTACATTTCAGCTTGAGGTAAATTCCATGTTATTGCTTGTAGAGCCAAACAAAATGATTTTCAAGTCACTAGAGTCACTTTTAAGGTAAAAGCATTGAAAGGAACCGGGGACAACATACATGTACCGGTAACTCAATAGGAATTTCAGCATTTTTACTTGCATTTTAGTTGTCTCCATCAGAATGCCAAACTGAGATAAACATATGGAGCTCAGTTGTTCTTTCTAATGAAGAATAAAACAGGATTGCTAAAAATGGCCTTAAAACTCATTTAACCCCAACCCCCTGGAGTTTTGTAAAATCATTTTGAAATGGGAGGATTTGGGACCGTTAGGTTCCAACCTTCAGTTTGGCAAGTTATGATGTAAGAAGATACTGTATGTAGAATTGCTGCATAGAATCTATTACTCATATCTCGGAACTGGTACATGTGTGAAGCTGCTATGTTTTCAGTTTTTTAAATCAAGATGGCCTGTTTTGGTTGTGAAACATTGTACCTGTCATTTTCAAGCTATTAACTATGGAATAATTAATGCCCAAATTAATTTTCAGAGAGGAGTGATAAGCCAAAAGTCAAGGTCTGCATATTTTCACCTGTAGCTCTACAGTGAAAGCGAAAGGAAAAGCTTTATAAAATGAACACCAAATCGTCCTTTTCTGAATTCTGTGACATTTTCTAAATTCTCACACTATTATTTATAGCTGTGCAGTGAACAATAATGCTTAACGTTACCTAACCCTAACTTGAGCACTTTCCTAGTCAATGAACGAGTCACATCCTTAAGAGGCAGAGTAAAATAAGCCTTTTGTCTGATTTTTTTGCAGTCCAATGATAGCAAAATCCGGTCCTTTTCATTGGTTTGTATTCTCAGAGTGGATTTGAGATAATGTGCTGGAGTGGATGTAACCACTTCTTGGCTAAAAATAAACTGACATTATGTAGGGTTTGACTCTAGTTATTCCCAAATTTCAATAGGCACTGAACAAAACTGAAAATGAGAGGACTCCAGTATACAGTACCTGTCTTATACACTGTTAACTAAGTCTGCATATATTGAGGAACATAATGTGAAAGCGAAAATGTCCTTTCATGGAAATTTTAGAAAAACAACTCTTTGTAGTTTCTGATTGTTTGACAAGGAATAGCTAATGGCCTTTGGGAATTCTATAGCAAATGTGTTTGCATTGGTGACATGTACAGTGCATGTAGCAGCCTAATCATTATTCAAAAGTACTGGTACCAGTCCATACCATACTATAGTTAAATTCAGGAGTTAAAAAAAGAGAATGAATAAATCCAGGAAGGCTTTATAATGGGTCAGAGTTTCGTAATTTGTTCCTGACGGTAGGGGAAGGACAGATTCTGCTGTTTCTAAACTGTTCACTTTAAGGCGTGGAGCTTTGTGTAGCACACTGGTGTATTGTGTTTCCCTGTTTTATCTTACATGTAAAGTGAATGCAGGATGTGACTTGTGAGCAAGCAAGAAGATGGCATCAAGGAAACCTTTCACATAATCTGAAAATTGAACATTGACATTCATTATCAATGCCAATCATGAGGGCTGATGGGAAGGCTGATGGCTCTTCTGACGGCCGTAGCCGTTCCCACTTTCACCGTAGCTTCCCCAACAGTTTCCATGCTCAGACCGAGGACGTGAAATCGCAGAGCGAGGATGTCCTCTCAGCTATGAATGCGCTGTGCCGATCCAGTGCTCTCTTGTCTGAGACCTTCGTGGGCGTGTTCCAAGACACGCCCTTCATGGAGTTGGCATTGCGATTGAAGCAGGTGTCTCAAGACCTAGCTGCCAGAACACTGAATGCTACTGAACACATTCAAGAGGATGGCATTGCCATGGTTACCAGACTAATAGGGCGGGGCACCAAGGAAAGAACCGATGAAGGAGTTCAGGTAGGTTCAGCATTATATTACATTCATTGTTTTTGCTGAATATACATTTACCCGGTACATGTATTTCCTCCAGTTACTGTAAAGTGCCATAATGTACACATGTATGACAGTTTTTCATAGAAAACCTTAATTTGGGTGGTTTTCCAAAAGAATAGACTTAGTTTTTACCTACATGTACTTTGTATCCATAATACACTGTCAATATGTCAAATTAGAATGACTGCTGTCCTTATCTTTGCTGGAAGTAAAAATAAGACAGTACAAGGTTTTACTCCATACTATCATCTACAAATTGGCTATGAAATTGTCAGAATGTTTGGGATTTATTGTGAGCATGTATTGTACTTTGCACCTACATTAAGTGAAAAAATTGATACTGCTCAGTCAGAGGGTATCCTATTTCAAAAACAGGTTGTTGAAAAGACACTCAATGCTGCCACCATCATGTCTGTGCACACAAAGGTTATGCTTGCACTACGTATAGTATGGACTATAGACGTGTGTATTTGAAGACTGGAAACTTGAAGCTGAATTTTCAGCAGGGTTTTTTGTAGCCAGACTGTTCTTGACATTGTGACCCAACTTAAAGCAGGAAATCATTCGCACCCTATTGTTAACAAAAACGGTTCAACTGGCTGTCAAGGATGGCTATATAGAAAAGAATGCCACAATAATAGTGGTTTGTGATCACTTCACAGTCAAAGGGGAAATAAGACTTGAAGCTGGATTGTTGATGCTAGATTTGGATTGTTAGAATATACAATGACATACATGTACATGTACTGGTACATGTATATATAATAACATACATGTATGTACATGTACATGTACATGTATGTACATGTATGTTATACAAGTGCATGCATGTATTCCATCTCCCTAACTTTGGCTCTAAGTTACTTGCCTACAGGTTTACATGTACAATTTACAGTTTTATTTATAAACCTGCTTGTGTTTGCTTAACCCTAACAGTCCCAAATCCTCCAATTTCAGTATAATTTTACATACACCCTAGGGGGTTAGCATTAAGCCACTTGTAGGGATTTAGGTGTACTTGCCCTATTCAAACCAAATGGAATGACTAGACATGTACCAACGTTGGCTTTGCAGTGCATGTATGATGTACGTCATGCATATCAAACTAACAATAAAGCACAGTTTCCAAACAGAAAAGTGGCTTTTTATTCCAAGATAGGAGACATACTAGTAGGCTCTGGAAGCTGATTCAGGATGGCTGTTCAGAATCCACATTTTACCTGCTACAGGTGTACATGTATGTCTTGCATGTACCGCTGTACATGTAAAACGTTATTTTAAGATATTCTCATTGTATTTTTGCGTCAGAGTCATAAACAATTTGAACCTTGTCTAATCTGGGTGGAAAATTTCTTACAAGATTACATTAGAGTACAACACAAATAAAATGAATGTAAAGAGCTGATGAAGTTGGAAATACTAGGACTAGAGATTGAAAAGTACACAGAAATATTGAAATGAAACAACTATCAGTTTCATTTACAATGTACAGTATATCAAATATAAATTATATAGAAATTGTACTGAGAATATGGTGGGGATTTACAGTGATTGGGCCCTCTTCCAAAATAACAAGCATTGAAGTAAAAGACCTTGACGTTTGTAATTTAAACAAGATAAAGCAATTATGATACTGAAAATGGTCAGCCATGTTAGTGCCACTTGTAAATACATGTACTGGTAAGGAACTTACTGTTTAGGAGATGTTTTAAAAAATTCACAAGTCACTTAAATAGGAAGTGATCATTTACAATGGTACATGTATATGTACCAGTACAGTGCATTACATACACATCTACATCTACGACCTCTAACAATAAGTGTAAGCATTACATTACAGTACTCATGGAGGAATAAAACAGTACTCAACCACCAAGCTTGCCTGCTTAAGGCCTGGGGCCAATTTCATAGAGCTGCTTAAGTACAAACTTTGCTTAAGCATGAAAAAACCTTGCTTGACAAATCAGATTACCAGCCAAAACTCCATGTGATGTACATATATATTGTTTTGGAATGGTATTCACCTGTCTTTGGGTTAACATGACAATCACATGGATTTTGCGCTAGTAACCATTGTTTTTTAAGCCCTTTTTTTGCGCTTAAGCAAACTTTGTGTTGAAGCAACTCTATGAAATTGACCCATCTTCAGTGCTGCTCGTATTTGCTGATCATCATGTTTAATGGCTCAGATTAAAGATGGTTAAAAGCCTACGGTTATTTTACCTGTTACCAGTAACCCACTATATTCTCTCCAAAAGCATTGGGGAGTTGGACTTTTTATTTTCGTTTTTCCCTAACCCAAGCTTAATCACCCCAGCAAAGCCATAGATCTACTAGTTTCCCTCATAATGCCAGTGGGCTTGTTGGGAATTTCTGACAGAGCTTGAGAGAGATGGCCATTCTGCCATAATACACCCAACTCATGTCTACAGCTGCCAGGTCTAATTGGATTGAAGGATAAAAAGTAACCGTCACAACTCATGTCATCCAAGCGTGGTTTTCTGGAAGAGCAGCCTCAAGAGAATTTGGCCAAATTAAAATGAATGATTGTGCCCTATTTTTACCAGTACCTGCCCTAAATGTACATCGGGTACATGCACATGCATTTTAGAGAAGTCTTCTTTTCAGAACTCACCCCTGTTATTTACAACCTTGAAAAACTTCATATACCAGTACACGTACGCTTGTCAGCTTGTGGATTGTAACGTGATTTTAAACGTGGCATTGATCATGGGTGAATTTTCCTCAGTGTCATAACTGAAATGTTAAACCTGACCCCAAAGTGAAAATCGTTTTTGTCTTTACCTACGGTAGGTAGTGGCTTTAGTCTCTCAAGTCAAGACAAACAACAATTCTAATATTTGCATAATCATTCCTTATGCATTGATCAGCTGAATATTTGATATGTACATGTACATGTACTTGCTCCATACAATTGATGGCACATAAGGCAGATGGATGATAGAGTCATGGAAACGCTATGAATATACTCATTAAATGTGGGCCTCCTTGTTTCCCTGTTTAGACATGTAACAATCACGGTCAGGGATATGCTACGTTTACTTTAATCTGAGAAATACTACCCGTAACATGCCAGCTGATGCTAAAAAAGACCACTTCAATTCTGTAATACCGGTAGATTTCAAGAAAACTTACATACATGAACTTGCTCAGAACAGACCAAACGTATCACTTACACAAATGCATCATTTCCACAATAATTCCATGTACATGTGCCTTACACAAAACATGTACATGTACTCACAGTGAACATGT